CCCAGGCAATGCTACAGGCTGATTGCCTCAATGCCACGTCACATCGAGGCAGCGATTAAGGCAAAGGGATTCCCAACCAAGTATTGAATATTGACATATGGTTTTGGAAGTACCATATTTTGACTGATTTGTTGTGATCCTAATTTCTTTCTTTTTTTTCTGCAAAAACTGAGAAGTGTGGACTGATGTCTTCACAGTATTCAGATTTTTTGAAATCCTGTTTTCGTGGGTTTCATGAGCTGGAAGCCCAAGTTAAGTAAAAATAAACAACTAAATACTTGAAATCATTTAAATTGTGGGCCCTGAATCTATCATCTATTAAAGATTAACTTTTTGAATGGCATTATGGAAGTTAAACAACTTTTCCATTATATTCTAATTTTTTGGAAAGGGTCTGTATAAATGTGTGTGTGCATGTAGTGGAGAATGTAGACAGTATAAAATCAGATTGGCCCAATGTTAATAGTGTTTTTTATTTATTTATTTATATTTTGCATTCTGAATTTAGCAAGAGAGGAAAATGTGACATAAGATTTTATTCTTTTAGACATACAGCTCAGTGAGTTTGCAGAGGTTGGAATAGCAGGTGTTTGCTGAACTTAGTCTCCATCAGTCCCTGATATGGGTTTGACCTCTGACCTCCTGGGTTACAAGACCGACTTCTCCCCTCCTGCAATGAGCTGGTATTGACCTCACAGGGCAGTCATTCAGGCCTGAAGATTGCATTTCAGTGTGCGTCTACGTGTGTGTTTAAACCTCAGCGCCAAGTGATCTGATCTCCTCTGACAAGGCAACAGGACTAAACAATAAAAATGTCTATTTTTCCTTCACTCTTGTTTGCTCCTTCTCTCTTTATGCTTCAGGCATGGTGGTGGACATAAATAAACTGACAGATCCACTGAAACACTGACATTTTCAAACTGTAATTTTTGTAAACATCATTCTTCTTCCACAAGAGGATTTTGGTGGAATTTTGGCTCAAACAGATGCATAGCACAATAGCTTCAACCTTAAATATAATGTCCCTGGATCTGCACTTTTAAACATTAGCATGGATTTCAAGATTTAAAGGTCATATTTAAAGGTCTTGTGAAAGATTTAGTTTTATTTTGTTTGCCCTTTAGTTTTGTCCCCTTGCTTTTGCAGGCGAGCTGAGAGTGCATGTCCCACACAGGTGGGACCTTTTAGAGCTGATTACTACCAGGGTTTATAGGCTGATCCAGCACTTGGTAGTGATCCGTTTGTTCGCAACTGGTGAAGATTTCAGTTTGATGATTAAACCTTTTGAGCTTTTGAAAACTAGTTTGATAAAAATAGAGAAACTTACCTGTGCATGTTCCTTAGGTGAATCCATGGTTCAGTTGATCCTCCTGTCCATGAAGAGTTGTTTCATGGCCTGTTGGTTCTGTGTTCTGGTCGACATTGTCTCCGCTGGGACCTCAGTCTCTACAAAGGATTCAAGGTTGGAAATTCAGCTCTGTCCTCTGTTCGTGCCTGCTCACTTGTTCTCTCCAGTCTTGCCTGCTCCTCATCACTCACCTGTTGTTGCGGAACCTCTTACCTTCTCCTCCATGCCTGAAACAAGGACGAGAGGCAATAACTATTTTTGCCTTGAAGAGATGACAACAAAAAACAGGTTCATCCACTTGTTCTGGAGCAGGTCAGGGAGCAGCAGCCTGCCAGGGAGGCCCACATACCGGTATCTCTTTCCACAGCCAACTCTTAGAGCTCTACTGGGAGAACTTCAAAGTATTCCCAGGTCAGCCAAGAGATGTAGTCTCTCCAGAGTGTCCTGGGTTCTCCCTGAGGTCTTCTCACATGGACATGCCTAAAAAATGTCCTTAAGGAGAAATCCAGGGGGCATCTTTACTAGTTGCCTGATCCACCTCAACTGGCTCCTCTCTGTAGGTGAACAGAGGTTCTACTCGGAGTCTCTCCTGGATCATTGAACTTTTTATCCTATCTCTAAGGGAGAGTCCAGTCACCCTGTGGAAGAAACTAACTTTGATCATTTGATCTCTTTCTTTAGGTCACTACCCAAAGTTTGTGACCACAGGTAGGAACATAGACCAACTTGTAAACGGAGAGCTTTGTCTTGCAACTCAGCTCCCTTTTCATCATAATGGACCAGCACACAGTTCGCAATACTGCAAACACTGCACCAATAGGTCTATCAAAGCCATGTTACATTATTCCCTCACTTGTGAACAAAATCACAAAAGCCCCTTTTCCACTGTTCCTCTTCAGCCCAGTTCGGCTCGGTCCACCATGGTTTTGAGCGCTTTTCCATTATCATTTCTTCATGGAACTGGACCCTTTTTTGGTCCCTGCTTCTCTGGTGGGACCAAGTGAGCCGAGCCGGCACCTAAACGTGACGTCAGAACACTGGCAGTCACTGATTGGTCAGGGGGAGGAGTCACTGGATTTTTCAGAAACTTTTCAAAACACAGATCCGCCATTTGCAATTACTCAGAACTCGGAGCAGTGGCTGGATCTATTTTTAAGATTTTAAAAACAATAATGACAACACCGTGGTCTAATGCTGAAGTGCAAGCATTTTTTTTGTGCTTTGTGACCAATGACAAAATTCAGAGCGAGCTAGATGACGCTCCGCCGGACCCCTCAATCCTCTCCAACAGAGTTTTGAGCTGCTGACTCGCAGAAGGCCGTTGCCCGGACTCTGGCCTCACCTGCTCTTGAGGGCCAAACCCCAAACCCGGCAGACGGGCGAACCGGGATAGAGGATGGAAACGATTTTTAAAAACATTTTATGTATTAAAAAATACATATTTTTTTTAATCAGTGAAGATAAAAATAAATAAATAAATGGTGCCAGCTTTATCATGAAATCCTGTTTTCACTTTAATGACTATTAAATAATCTGTTAAAGTTAACGCAGCTGAAAAATCATAAAAAGACACAAAATTATTGGATCTCAGGAATATTTCCCTCAAATATGTTTAAAGAAGACATACAGCCTTTAGTTCAACATTATTCTTTCTAACCCACAGATGTACAAATCACAAAACAAGAATTAAACTTTAAAGCAAAGCTTATATATATATATATATATATATATATATCTGTGAACAAGAAACAAAACCACATATCTAAATTGAACAATACAAGTAGACACAATGAGTGCAAATACATCAAATACTGAAGAAAATATATAAAATGTTAAATATAGATATTTTTGTAGAATCTGGTTCACCAGAGATTTAATGGTGAACTAAAGTTCATTCAAAGTTTTTTTAGCAAGATATATAGTTTAATTCAATCATTTTAATAATCTGTTCGTTTTAATTTACCAGAAACTTCAAAATAAATTCTCACCCTGTCCTGAAACCTGTTTCTATGGCCTTACCAGCACCAGCTGGTGAAGCGCGTGACATCAATTTGAACCCCGCCCACTGGAACCAGTACTGAAAGGGGCTATTGAAACACGTGTACTGAACCGAGTCGAGTTGAACCAAGCTGAACCGGGCTGAAAAGGAGCGGTGGAAAAGGGGCTAAAGATACTTGAACTCCTGCACTTGAGGCAACACCTCATTCTCAACCCGGAGATGGCAATCCATCTTTTTCCTGGCTGGGCAAACTTCCATGTCCCCTCGAGGACCCTAGTAAAGGTAATAAGTTGGTCCAGTATTTCACAGCTAAGACAGAAACCCCATTGTTCCTCCTGAATCTGAGATTTGAGCATTGCTCAACTCTTCAGTTGTAAAGACCAGTTTGATGTAATTTGATAAAGTATATTTGGTGTAGGTTTTTTTTTTATCGTTCTCAACTAGCATTAAAAATAGCTGCATTTTCTAAGTTTGTAACAAGTTAGATAAGTTTTGTGACATATTTAAGAAATTTAAAAGGACACTAAGATATAAAAATGGAAATTATGATTGAGCAAATAATAATCAATTATAAACACACCTCTGTCTTGTGTATGACCTGTGTGTGTCCGGTATGTATCTATGTATGTCTTGTATATTTATGTCCTATATGTTCCTATGTCAGATAAACTAATTGTTTTATTAGTTAGACCATAGTGTGAAGCACACACTGCCAGACCCCCAGTCTTCATCATACAAGCAGTCTGGCATACAATCCCAGAATGCTGGTATGATGAACGCACTGAGAAATAAAGGACAGTGGCTGATGAGGAGTGGAGACACCTGGGCATAATGGCAACAGTGAACAGGTGTAAGTGGGTGGGGCAGGACTGGGCAGTGAAGACTGACAATGGAAAAATACTGAGGACAGCTGGAAACAAACTGAACATTTTAGACATTAGAAGGAATGTCATTGAGCATTCCTTCTCCATCTTATCCTTTCTTTTCATCTTTAAACAGCTGCTGTGATTCTCTTCATTTTTCCTTCTGTCTGATGGTTTGGAGCGACTCACTCCACCTTGCAGTCACGCTGAATCATGAAGCCAACAATCAGAGTAGGAGCAGACCATCAGTGACTGAGGAAAGCAAAGAAGGGGGTGGTGAGAGTTAAGAGTGGAAAAAAGCAGAGAGAGAGAGGGAGGGGGATGAAAAGCATGCTGAGAGAGAGAGAGGCGCTCACACTGAAGGAGGCGACGGTTACGGCAACAGCACGCTCCATTCATCCTCTCCTCCCAGAATCCCACATCCATGCCAGCGGCGATGGCAGGACCCCTGACCTGCTGAGGACACTGACTGAAGGGGAGGGGAAAAAAAGCATGTGACCTACCCCCCACCCTTTTTTTTGGTAAAACCTTGTGTATTTTGGGGGCACAAGGACCAACAAGGAGTAGAAGGACGTTGTTCTGTACGCACAAGCCTGCCGATAGGAGATAGAGCAAGAAGGATGTAGAAGAGAGGGGTGAGAGGTACATTTTGCTGCAAATGCCAACATCTGAGAAGGAGACAGACTGAGGGCGATCCGAAATCTGGTGGGCTCACACATGTGGAGCGGTGGCAGCCACTTGTGAGCCAACAGGAGAGGAAAAAAGGTTTGCATCTGCACACAGCTGGACAGATGAGGAGGCATCAGGGAGCGTGGTTCAGTCTTGGGTACGTTGCCTTGATACACATGTATATTTTGCCCTCAACGAATGCATCGTTTTAACAAAAACAGCACAGACACTCTTGAAACATAACTGCGTTGTTGCTGTTCTTCTTGGCTGACAACAACCAGCACTGACAAGACTCCCTACTTGCCCTCAGATACTTGCAGCAAAAGGACAGAGGATGATGATGAGAGGTCATGCCTGTGTGTTATCGTGCTTTCTCACCAGATATATGTCTTTTAAAATTATTGTTTTGCCACCAGGGGCTTTTTGTGATGAGATTGCAGGCGGTCTGAGCAATGCATGCAAATAAGCCTCCACTGCTGGAATGTTGTTGCGTTTCACATCATGGGGCAAAAAATCATTTTCTGGTTCATTTTATTAACTTTGTGCTTGAGTGGCGTGGTCACTGTGCAGCCATGCATTGTGCAAAAAAATACAAAACTGAATAGTGAGTTTTTGTTCCTGCTGACCAACTTATCAGTGCACCCTGAAAGAGACATGCAAGGTTCAGATTATTCCTAATTTTTTACATGACACCACAAGAATAATTGTATTTTATCTGACATTTTAGCATGCATATTGACCTTCTGCAGCAAGTATGCATGTAACGTTCCAGCCAGTAACCTTTTTTCTCCACACCAAGTCCAGCTTTCTCTCTTTGTCTTTCTCCACAGTCTCTAGTCTTTCTCCATTTCCAATTATAGACTGTCACCTATCTCCTTTCCCCCGATCCTATCTCCTGTTGCATTCTCTTGCTGAGCAATTACCCACACCTGAATTTCTCCCTTTGGACAGCATGCCTGGCTGCTTTCCTGTCTGCCCTTCTTTAACAATAAAAGTGAGGGGGGATGAAGAGAGTTGGGAGAGTGATTTCACGACCATTTTGATGGTTGCCTGAGCTTGAACAAATGACATAATCTGTGCACCCTGACCCAGAAGCCAGACTCGGAGACTTTAGGAACATTTCACATAACTGGAGCAGCTTTTCGGATCACAAACAAAACATCTCCTTATTTCCTTCTCATTAACTTGTTTAAATGTGTAACTTTGTCACCGTTCACAGTTATTGTCTTCCTGTCAAGAGAATCAAACAGATCTAACGCCCAACTCATTAAGTCAAACCCTTCTTTCATTTTGTGCAACTTTTGTTGTATTTCCATAACAAAAAGTGCAGTAGGTCTTAAAATAATCCAAATTATAATTTATTCACTGCATCAAAATAGAAACATGATCAAATATTCAAACAAAGCATCTTGCCACTTATATTTCTGGTACCATTCAGAAATACATTATCCTTTTTTCTTTCTAATGATGGTACAAGACTTGAGGAGAACGATAAAAGAAAAGAACATAATTAACAGAAAGAGGACGACAGGAATGGTGACATTATGTCATAACATACGTTAGGTTGATAGTTGAGGCTGTCAGGTCAAAGACAGTGTTTGAAGGTTGGCAGAAAAATGAGAGAATTCAGGTCAAACAGTTTGACTTCTGTGTTGACAGGTGTTTATTGCAGGTGTCTTCTCGGGGGGAAATGATTCATGGGGAAGTAATGTGAAAAAAGACAGGGACACGAATCACATAGATACTGATTTAAACTTTTTTTTTTATCTATTTGTTGCAGCCTCAAATCAGAATCAGGATTATGTCTAATTAAATGTTTTTTTGTTTTTTTTTACTGTAATGCTTAAATAAATATGTTTAATGCTTTGTTAATAGTAACATTTGCCGTTTAATTGGCTAGGCTGTGGTGGGTTTACTAAACTAATTAACTAGAGTGATTCATTTCATTTGCTTAAACAAGGGTACCCAATCCATCCTGATGCATGCTCAATAATCCAGGTAGAAAAATCTAAAAAAGTTAAATCTGGTCCTCTGGACATTTAAAAAACAAAACAAAACAACAACCAAAAAAAAAAAGGGTACCCAATGTTCACAAAGTAAACGTCATTCGAACCATTTCACAAAGCCGAACAAAAGTGACAACTTTCAGTCTTCATTTTCTAAATTAGCCCATCAGACCTAATATTTGTTAGAAGTGTGGATAAAAATGACATCAGAAGAAAAAGTTGGCGGCCATTACTTTCAAGATACTTCCACTGTCTCAAATTTTTGCAACATTGCATTTTTGTATATTGTCAGAGCATCGTTTTTTTAAGTTTTAAAACATTTGACTGAAACAAAATGCCCATGATTTGTCTAAAGGTGTCCCTCCCTCATATCCAATCGTGATGTTTTAAACATATTTTTTTATACACTATAATAAATAATAATTACAATAGAAATTCTGAGTGAAGAGAAATGTGCTATAACTTTACAGAACAAGTGTCAGACCAGTCTCTAGTTGTAGGAGAAGAAAAGATTCCTGATGGATGAGATTATAATTCATTCATCCTTTATTTATAGTATACAGATTAGTCTCATTGAACCTCGAGGACTCATTTACAAGAGAGACCAATTTTAAGAAGGAAAGATGACAACAGTAGACAATCATAAAAGAAGGAATTAAAAGTGAAAAAAAGTAAATGGAAATTTTTTTTATAAAAAATGAAACTAAACAGCTACATTGTAAATCAAGGTATATATATATATATATATATATATATATATATATATATATATATATGTAAGTATTTTGACATCAGCAGAGATTTGTTTTGCTAGTACACAGCCCTTTGAAATGAAAGTGTTCGGAAACAGACTGCTGCACCCACAATTTCTTGTATGAAAGCATTATGGCTGATGTCAGTGTAACCTATGACCTGACTTCATGTTGTCCTAAGATTGGGCAATGCAAATTTATATAGAGAGCAGAGAGTATTAAACTCATTGCATCAATGCCATAAAATGACATTAAATCAATGTTTGGATAAAGCTACACGAAGTAAAGCAGGTTTTTAAGAGATACATATTGTGTGTCACAGTTATAGACAAAGATCATCTTATGTTGACAAATGGCTGTATTGTGACTGGCTCAGTAAACCTTAAATCACTCATTGCATAATGAAGTGATATGTGATGTCATCACTGTATGCACACACAACAACAAAATTAGTTTTCTGCGTTTAACCTATCACCATGTGAGATACACACAAGTGGAGCAGCATGCAGCTTATTTAAGCACCCAGGGAGCAGTTAAGGATTAAGTGTCTTGCTCAAGGACACCGCAACATGTGGGCATGGCATGGAATGGAACATGTGACTTTCTGGTCCCAAGACGACTGTCCTACCACTGTGCCACTGTCGCCCTTAATGATATTGCCTAATCACAAGCAAATTTCTTCTTCTTTTGCTGTAAGTGACTCTCAGCTACGACCATACCATATTTTGGGTCAACATCTGTAAACCTGACGGAGTCATAACTATTTTAATGTTTGCTAATGTGGATTACCTTTTGAGGCAAGTTGACGTCACTTGTAGGTGGACATTCAGCCATCTTTTCCTGCAAATATAATTAAAATATATTTAATGGTTTTTGAGCTATTGACAAACAACGTTGACATTAAAAGTTATTGCTGAAGTTTTAAGAAAATATCTTGTTCAATAAATAGCCCTTGTAGTGTGTGCTGCGAATGACTCTCAGCTACAACTACTCAAAGTTTTAAATGATCAGCTGTGAAACTGACTGAGTTGTAGCCTTCTTTTCTGTTAAGGTCGGGTGTCTGTTGCATCTGTCTTGAATGAGGTTGATTCCAAATGTTATAAAGTTATAGAAGTACCTCCAATAATTATTTTCCGAGAGTTTCATTAACATTCGACCAGTGGTTCATGAAATATTTTAAAACATAAGCAAACATCGCATTATTGCACACCTTTTGCACTTCAGCAGTGAGCAACAATAAGATTTAAGTAATAAAAAATAAAAAAATGACAATAATTCAGTTTGACATTTCACTCTAAAGCTTAAAAGCCAAAGTGGAGTAATAAGTGCAGCAGAAAAGGCAGCTCAGTCTTCAGGAAGGAAAATGTTCTGATCATATTTTGCTGGAGGGAGTGTGAGAAAGAGAGAACAATCCATGGTGGGCTTCACTGAAACGATTTGATTGGGAAGGTGAGCAGGAGTGTGTTGACATGATGAAGGAATGTGGGTGTGTGGGGGGGGGGGGGGGGGGGGTAGGGGGGTGACCGACCTTGAGAAATCCATCAAGGATCTTAAGGATGTTCTGCATGGAGGACTGCTCCTTAGAGTTCTGAAGCACGACTGAGGTGAATTCACAGCCAAGGGCAAAGATTCATAATCCAAAAGCCTGCAGCCCCCCCGGCTCACACACACACACATATAACCACTCAGAATAAAACACTTCAAATCCTTTGATAAAAAGTAGAAGTACAGTACAGAGTACTGTGTTGCTCTAGAGGTGAACCTGAATTTAATGCTTTCTGTTTCATTCACCTTGGGCGTGTTATTGCCATTGAGTGTGTGTGTGTGTGTGTGTGTGTGTGTGTGTGTGTATACGTGTGTGTGTGGGGGGGGGGGGGGGGGGGGGGGGGGGGGGGGTGTCCAAAGAGGTTATGATGCTCTTAAGGTGCTGGCTGCTGGTGTTGGTGCACATGTACAGTGTAAAATGAAGGGCATGACCCCAGTCAATAATAAAGAAGCAGGCTTCAAGCTAAGGACAAAACACTGCGGTGAACCTCCTTTACTGTTCTATTAAAACCTGCTGGCCATCACCACACCCTCTTCTCTTATGAAAAATAAAAAGTTCTCCCTCTTTCCCTCATGCGTCCTTTTCGCTCTGTATTTCACTTGCTTTATTTTCTTTGCTGTGCTTATTTCCAGATGTGACCCCACAGCTTCAGATTGTCTTGTTTCTTCCTCTTATCCCCCACCTCTCTCTCACTTTCTGTTGGTCTCTTTCACCCTCCGCTGCTTCTAAAAATATTAAGGTCACTGATTGTCCTGTAGTTTTGTTAAAATAAAGCTTAGCTCTGCTTCATTATTCAGTCTGACCAAAACATCTGTTGAGGGATTGTCCAACTCTTTGAACGAAATACTCAAAT